TACATTCACTTGGTAGTAAGCATCATTAACCAAATGTAGACTGGCTAAGCTTCGCCGACAACATATATATCATTATTGAAGATGTCACTAACATTAATTATTTTAACAATAGTCTTAAATAATATGTGAAAAATCAGCCTGATAAAAATTTTAAAAACTATTCTATCTTTCCTTTCCTTCCCTTTTAATTTCTTTTATTATCTTCAACTTTCTCAAACTTTTTAATTTCCTATTTCTTTCTCTTTAGCTTCCTTTCCCTTTAAATTTCCCTATTTTCTTTACATTTACAATACTTAGTATGATATTTTTTATAATTTAAATAAATTATATATCTATTTTAAGCATCCTACGTATTTTTAAAGCTATCCATTTTGCCGGGCGGCACAATATGTCCTTTTATCTCTGATGAATATTTTGTCTAACTAACAGAAAAATATCCAAAGTACATTATTTTTAGTATTTAACTAAATTAATATATCAATTTTTAAGGATCCTACTTTTTTAAAAGCTTGCCTTTTGTCAGATCCACAATTGCTCTATTCTCCATGCTGATTATTTTGTATAACTCACCAAAAAATAAGTACATTATTTTTATTATAAATAATTTTATATAGGATTTTATATCTATCCAAAAAATCGATATATATATTACAATATTTTTTTTATTCAATTAAAATTATATCTTAAGGATCCTACCTTTTTAACAATACTCCTTTTTATTCTTACTAATTTTTTTGTATAACTCAATAAAAAAGACAAAACGGGGTTTTCTATCTTTAGGATTTTACATTTATTCCAAAACAAAATACATACTATGGTATTTATATTATTTAAATTATTCTATATATGTTCACAAGGTTCCTATTTTTTTTTAATTTGCCAATTGGACTCTCCGAATGGTATTTTATTTTAATCCTACCTTATAAAATTAACTTGAGAATTGTTTTGTTTTTACTTTTAACTATCCCCATCTTATTTCCTCTTTATAATTGTTCAAATATTGATATATCAGTCATTAATAATGTACAAATGCAAAATAAACCTTTAGAAGAACATGATAGGCTTGATAAGTCCCCAAAAAATTTTTTTTGATTATAGCTCCCTAACTACTAGAAATATACTTCTAATATTGACTCCTCTACAGGTTTACAGTATATTAATGTTTGTTTAATTTCAACAATAGTTTATATATATTTGTGGCTGATTTCTTTATTTATCTAGGCTAATCCAATCTGAATCCCTCACATTGTTACAAAACATGATGAATCTATTATTAAAAGCAAAGAAAAAAAATGCCGATTCAACAAACGCCTTACCCGTTCTAGAGTTACTGGTGGCCAAGATAATAAGGAACTGTGAACTCCTCTGGAGGTTTATTTTGTTTTTCATCTAATGTTTTTTATCTATATGTTTATTTTATATTCACCCACTTGCCTCCAAATGATATTTCTATCACCACTACCACAATCCCTATGCCACCTCTGCCTAATTTTTAACAAATATAAGCATTTAATTCCACTATCATTCACCTCACTAGGAGTTAATATAAATAATACTTTATCCGATTCCCTGTGGAACTTTCATGAATATTTAGAGGGATGTTCAAACGTGAATGTGTAGTGCGGCCAATTTCATTAACATAATTAATGGGGAAATATGCGGTTGTCATGGCCTTTATAACAATACTTACGACAGTTTTATGGTTGAGTTGACAATGTCGTTCATGATTTTATTTTAGAGGGGGATACCAAAATGACACTTTGGCAGAAATATTATTTGCGTTCTTCTTTTACCAGTAGCCCAAGGCCTCAGCTTTATCAGGACGCAATGGGTGTTGTACACTTCTTTGGTAACCTGTATTCATTACTTTCACCTACAACCCTAAATGGGATGATATTATACATTAATTATTTCCTCTGCAGACGACTGCCCAGATTTATTTTGTCGCTTTTTCCATCAAAAATTAAAATGTCATAAAGGATTTGCTCTTAATTTTATCAGACACACAAAATAATAATTAATCCTCATCATTTATTTAAAAAATTACCTAAATTTATATGGCAAGAAAAACAAATTTATTAAAAAATATATAAATAAATTGTATATAAGTTTCATTAGTATTGAATGACATTTTTGTAATTTAAATAGATAGCATTTTTTTGTACTTAACATAAAGATTTAGATAGCCCTTATCAAATTTTTTGATAAAAGGAGTTAACCAACTAATTGGTAAATCCAAGATTTCCCCTCATGTGATGATAAATTATTTAGAAATTTAACTATCTCCGGGTTTGGGAAAAAGTTTTGAAAATTAATATGGGTTGGACTGGGCTTGGAAAATATTCCTCAAGATTAATATTTGCTAGCAGCTGACTTGGGAATATCTTTTACAAATTATTATGAGCCGGGCTAGGAAAAAATTTTCAAAATTATTATGGGTTGAGCTAGGCTTGAGAATTTTTTTTAAAAATTATAAGGTCTTGGACGCTTGGAAATTTTTTCCAAATATTATGAGCTTGGACCTGGCTTTAAATTTTTTAATGTTAAATGTTAGTCTTATGTAATCAGTAATATATTTACAAAGAATTTTGATTTTGGGTAAAAGCATTTAAATATATTTTTACTCAAAAAATAGTTTCCACCCTTAGTCCTAATGGGTTGGACTCAATGACATTGGTTGGACTTGACCTAAATGGGGTGGGGGGGGGGTTTAAAAATAATATAAATTGGATATGATTTTTAAATAAAAGGTAACATCTTTCTTAAAAAAACGAATAAATTTCTCATTCTCCGTCATTTTTGACGGGCTATCTTTTATTTTAAGTTTAATTTCTAAAAAATTGTTAAGTTTAATCATAATTTAATAAAAAGTATAAATATGATTCCCAAGTTTGAAATGTAAGAAAGTCAAAATGCCCCAAAGACATAGTGCTAAGTAAAAATTATAATGTCATCAATAAATCTTTACATTAGCTTTTATGATATTCAAATATTGAAATATGATGTTAGAATTTTGCAGTTTCTCCATCCCACCCTGAATAACAACAAAGTTATAATATGTCATATAATTAATTAATTCTTTTCGAAATATTTTGTGAGAAATTTTTTAATAACACCATACTCAATCCAAAGAACTAGAGGATGCAAATTGATCGATTAATCTTTCTATTAGCTTACATCTGATACCCATCGATATCTTATGCATGAATATTTATCCCTCCCTCCGCCCCCCCCCCCCAAAAAAAAATAAATAAAAATAAATAAATAAACAAACTCTTCCATACCCCTTCTGAAAAGATGAGCATCAATATAATATTGAGCATAATAATAAATAACAAATTTTTGGGAAAATTATAGTCAATGTACAATTAAACTCCAACTTAGAGGGCAGTACCGCTATCAAATTACTCAGGAATATGGCTTTTGATTTACCAAAATCTATTCAAACTAAAGAAAGTAGGAGCATTTCGCGCTCTGGATATATTTACATTAGTACAAAATTCAATTATTTTCATACTATCGAGGGAAAATCTCCTTAAATTTTGCATGATATTCATAGAATGTAAAGAGTATTATGTTTATGTTAAAAATATTAGCTAATGAATTTTAAATGTTATATCAATAATAAAAATTATTAAAAGTGTAATTTAATTAGCATTAACAAGATGATATTGCTAATCATTTTAAATATAAAAAAGGATGAAATAAAAACTCATATTTGAATTATATACTGATTTATATGATTCCACTTAATTTATAATTCTGATAATGATTATAAAACTGATGTTTACTATATAATTTTGATAATGTTTTTGGAATTAGACAAATAATTCTGTGATATAAAAAAATGCAATAATTACAAGAATTCTATTGCATAATTTTATGCCTTACCTCCTCCATTTTAAATTACTAATGTCAAAACATATTTTTTTAATCTAACTAGAGAGGGGAAGGAGTGCAAGGACTCAAGCCCTCTGAAAAATTTGAAGAGTTTCCTAAAAATTTTGATTTTTTTTATGCCAAATGTAATTTTGAAAATGTTAGCTAAAGGTAATTAATTTTGGATAATGTGAGCTAAAAAAAATAATCTTCAATAATCTTAGCTAGAAAAAAAGTAGGTAATATTGAAATAAAAAATTATTTTTGAGCTACCTGAGATTGTAAAGGCTAGTGACACCTATTATAAATAGAATAATTGCAAACACAATATTTCTATATCCATAAAACTCATAAAAATAAAAGCAGGATAAAATATATATTGAACCTGCCTCACCCAATATTATACAAAATCATAAATTATATATAATCATTATAGCCATATCTAATTGACAAATATAGTATTATTAATGTATAAATAGTACATTATAATATATTACCACATTACTACAACACCCTTGCTAAACCGGGAACAAGAACTCGTAAGTTCACTCACCATTATATCGAGAATTTATTATTAAAGAATATTCCAATTAAATATATGCTAAAAATTTCTGATATTCGTTTTCCCATTATTTATAATTGAATAAAATATTTAGCTTAAAATTTCAACCACTGTTAAAAACATAACACAATAAATCTAAATAGTAGTATGTAAAATCTGTCAGGTTAATTGACAGGATAGGTTAACTCTATTTTCTGATTTTAAAAGGTTAAACCTTTATCGCCTCACATTTTATGTTTAAATTTTTTAAATTTTTATCTCATAAACCTAATTGCTTGATTTTGCTTAATCATTATCATACATTGCCTACACATGTTAGATACTCAAATATTGTGCGCGGCCCATATAATTTAATTAACTCAAAGGATATTGATTATTTTAAATCTTTTCTAATTTCTGGACAAATTGTAACTGATGAAGCAATTATTGAGAGCTATAATATTGATTGGCTAAAAGAATGTAAAGGTTAGTTTCTTAATAGGCGTTTTTCAGATTTTTAGATTAGGATCTAGTAAACTTGTTTTGAGGCCAAAATCAACTTATGAAGTTTCCAAAATTTTGGATTATTGCAATTCTAGGAAATTAGCTGTTGTGCCTCAAGTAATAGTAACACAATTTTTTTTATATTTATGTACTAGGGAGGCAATACTGGTCTTGTTCATGGAAGTATTCCTGTATTCGACGAAATTATTATATCGATGTCACAAATGAATAAAATTCTAAATGTCAATCCACTTTCAGGTTGAGACATTTGTGTCTATTTTATACAATATATGTAATTTCCATAAATACTTGTTGGCTCAAAATAAACCTAATTTTATAAATATCATTTTAAGCTTAAGTCAAAAATTTTTAAGTTTAGTCCAACTTTGATCTAGGAAATATATTTTAAAATTTATATTATTATCAATTTTGGCATATAGAATAACTAGGTTGCCAATTGAGACTTTCTATATTAATTTCAAAATTACTCACAAGCATTGCATCGAGCATATATAAGATAAGATAAACTATTGAGTGATGAGCATGATTAAGTGATAGTTAGAATTACTTGTTTTGCAAGCATTGGTATTTTCATTCCAATTTGGACATTTAGCTCAATAATGCTGGCAGAAATAATTTGAGAGATGCTTAGGATCTGGCTTCTCATTTAAAGTGTTTTGCTTCATGAGAAAATAGTTCCTGCAATTTTATATAAAATTTAGTTAGCTTAATACTTCTAAAAAAACTCAATATGATAAAGATCTAGTCAAACTAAAAGGTACTAAATTATAATTGATTATTTAGAAGAGAAGAATTAATATAATTTACAGATAATAAATATAATATCCCTAAGTGCATTGAATTAGTAAATATACTCTATATTTTCAAAAATTATGAATTATTATTAAGGCAGTCTTGCTTGCTAATAAAATTCATCAATGTTGCGAAACAAATTAAATCACATTTTTATTCTTTCTCATTGTTGAAATTTGTATATCAATTTTTTTTTGTTAGGATTATTGAATAATTTTGTATTACTAAAAATTGAATGGCCCATAAACATCAGGTGCATCTCCTGGAAAAATTAAGGTAACTATAATGTATCTAGTTACACTTTGAACAATGTAACTTATTAAAGTAACAAGTTATTAAAAAGTAACTTTTATTTTCCATGTTGTCAGTAAAATAAAATGTAGTGTTGTTAAAGTAACTAGTTCAAATTACATTTTTGCAAAAAATAACTGTAAATAATTATATTTTAAAAATTGTAACTAGTAACTGTACTGTAACTAGTTATATTCTTTGGAATGTAACTGCCAAAAGTAACTAGTTACTTTAAAAAAAATTATGTATAAATCGAAATAATATATTCTAGTTTAATTTTATTTTTAATATGTTTTTTTAAAAATAATATAACTATTTATTAAAATAATACTATATCTAATTCTATGTATATAATTAAAAGAAGAGAAATAAAATAAATAATGTATTTAGGTTTGGTTAGGCAGGGCTTAATGACCCATGTATAGATATACATTTGGATCGACAAATTTTGATTAATATTCTTTGTCATAGGTAGAAGCCTTTTTTGGATCACCTGTGATTAAACATAACCTTTGCACATTGTTTTGAATAATTTTAGGGCTTGGGGTCCAAATGATCCACAGGTGTCTGAGACTACCAGAACAAACAAAAGATTATTAAGGTGGTTATATTTATTTGTTTTTGTATTTTCAGAGAGTTGAAATAAAAAGATCTGGCAAAGCAATCTACACATGTATAATTCCAAGCGAGGGGTATACCTTGGTTCCAAGGGACTAGCTTTGTACTATATTAATTTTAATAAATTTAAAATTTTGTTTAAATGTCTGATTGTGTTAGCAAAGGATATGTCCAAATAGATTTTCTTTTCTCAAATTGTTACATTGCTGGGTTTTATAATTTTGTAACCAAATTCAAGTAATAAACCTATTTTTTAATATTATATTTCCTTACAAATTTAGCACAATATTATCGATATTTTTTGCCCTCAAGTTGCTGACAATATTTATACTCTGGAATTTCATAAGTTATAAATGTATTTTTTTTTAAATTTTACTAAATTAGAGCATAAAACTTTATATAAGGAAAAACAAATTTAGATTATTTTGGAATTAAATAATTTTTGTATAAAATGCTAAATTAGTCTTCATTAATTACTAATAAGAAAAGACAGAGACTATGAAAGAAAAACGAAATATTATAATGCAGATATCAAATATCATTTCCTTCAACAAAAGATTAATCAAATAACCATAATTCTATAGGCTAATTTAATTTTTTGAAAATTGGGGAATTATCTAGGGTATTTTTGTCATGGTCCTCTTGTTCAGGATTTTTTTGCCTTCTAAAAAAATAGGTAAATTCTATGATCTAAGGTAATGCATATAAAAAAATAAATTATCTAATACCCTTCCCTTATTATTCTTATTATCACAATTTTCTTGACAAAAAAAACTCCAATATTATACTGCTCTATTTGAATTAACATTAAAAAAAATATATTTGCAATAAGTTTAAAATGAATATTTGTAACAACTATATATATTAATATCATATTTACAAATATTTGAGTGAAAAAATTATTAATAATACATAACCTGAAACCCATGTTTAGAATTAATAGACCATTTTAAAATTTATAAGAGCTAGAAAGTAACTTATAATGTAACTGTATCTAGTTATATTTTTACCAATGTAACTAGTAATTGTAACTAGTTATGTTTCAAAAGTAACTTTAACAACACTAATAAAATGTATCCAAATGTTGCAAAAGCTTCAATCAGAAATTTTTTAACCTCTAATTATTGAATATTGAAATATTTTTATCATTTAAAAAAAATGTGTTTATTATAGTCTAAAATATTAAATCCATCTTCTTAAACATTAAACACCAAAATGGATTATTTCTCATATATATTTTGAATTATAAATAAAATTTTGGGTCATTATTTTATAAGATCAATGCATTTAATTTTGGTGAATATTAACTATATTTATCTAATGGATAATAGTTTTATTATTTCCCATTCATAAAAATTATTTTATTACAAAAAAACACCTATAAACTTAATCTCTTCTTACCATTAATAATACAGATTCATTTTGCACCCTTTAATCAAGATTATTTAATTTTTGATTTTGTATAAAAATACTAATTAATCTTTTTAACCAATTCATTACTATTCTCATTCACCAAAATAAATTGCGATATAAATAAACTTATAAATTACCTTTTAAAAAATATATTTTTTAAGATAATAAATCAATTTTTATTAAAAAGAATTTAAAACAAAATATGTTTATTCAAAAGAAAACAAATCACGATTATAAAATATATAGCTCATACAAGGAAAATTTAAAATAGCGCATACAATGAAAATTTAAAAAGTAATAGTATTAATCTTTCTTTGGTGATGACCAGGAATTCTTTAAATATTTTAAAATCGTAACGTAAGATTTCAAAGCTAATTTTTTGTATGATCAAAAATGCCTTTGAAATTTTTTGGGCTCCATTGGTGAATGAGTTTGATTAAGAATTTCGCCTCTTTTCAGAATGAAAAGTTGTTGAAACCACAATTGTTATGGATATATTGTTTGTGGTTAAGTGAATGTCAATGCATGTAAAGTCCAAGTATTTGTGTTTTCGTATAGAGTTAAGTGTATCCAATAGGTCGAGAATTATTTATAACTGAAGTATTGCGAGGTTCAAGATGTGAAGGAACATCTGCTTTGAATTAAATGGTTTTCTTGTGTCTCATATACTTGTATCTATTGATGTGTCATCTTAATTTGTTTTTAATATGTACATCTTTTGTTTAAGATTTGATAATTTGTTTTTTAAATATTAAAAATTTTTTAAATTATTTTAAAAAAGAAGATATTTAAATTGAGTTAACAGGACTTAATGATCCATTGAAAATACAGTTGTAATTCCATATTTCGATAGATATTCTTTGCAATAATTAATACTATTAACTCTCTTTTGAATAGTCATTATTGAAGTTTATAATAAATTTTTTAAGTGACTGTATTTGTTAGTTTTTGAATTTTATATAGAAAAGGGTCGGGTAAAATGATCTATGTAATCCAAGGGGTATACTTTTGTTTCAAGGAATTAGGGCTCATTCCATCTGTCTGGGCCAGGGTGAGGCTTTATGGTTCCACTAAGGAAGATGATGATTTTATAAGAATTTAAAATAAATTTGACGCAAATTTGAAAATTGTATAGACACTTTTCTATTTATGTTAATGGAACTTTGACTATTCTCCTTTGAATTTGACCACTTAATAGTTTATTATGAAACATATTTATAGGCTCAGCAAGTAAAATTATAGATTTACAATATGTCGGTTTTGTTATTTTATATATGCAATATGTGAGTGGCTACACTAGCCTTTATAATATCAGAGGGCTTAAAAATATTTTTTTTTTAAATTACCTGATTATTTTTCAAAATTATTTTTTTAAAGGTATTTTTAAAAAATTTCAAATTTTCAAGGAAATTTTCAAATATTTTAGGGGATCCTTTAATGACGCTATTGCATATATGATTTTATATGTGCAATAAGTATTATTCAAATGGGGTGTATAGGGGCAAAACCTCATGAAATCGATGCCGCTAGAAAAATTTGCCCACGACCGCATAAATAATTGCCAGTTCGCCCCAGTGTCCTGCTAATTTAAACAAGACTGTCTTCGTTTTTGAAAATTTCTCATGGATCGCAATACAAAACGCGAATGCTCAATTTGGAATAGCCAGGCATAAATCAATCAAGGCAATATTTGTCTTGCAAGATTATGGTCGCTATTTTGTGTCTTAGCTACCATGTACGTCAAGGGTACCATTTGTCCCATATTTTGCGGTATAACTCCAGAAAAATTATTCCGCAAAGGCGAAGCAAGCCTCATCACCCCATAATCCTAGATTATGTTTTAAAAAAATTGATTATTTTTTGCATTTTATTTATCTCCCCAAAAGACATGTAAAAAAATTTAACGCATATCTTTTTTTATTAATTCGTGTTTAAAACTTACTAATCCGATTATGAATGTTTATGAATATAAGGAAGATCAAACCCTTATTAGATATATGATAAAAAAGATTTGTAGAAATGATAGACATACATATTTTGTTTTTTTTGTGAGTGACTATTACTTCTAATATATATATATATTAACCCTAACCCATATCTCTCTGGCTTGGATCACTAGCTAC